ATTCAAATTCACTAAATGGTTATCGAGGAAAAAATGAAAAATTAGCTGAAAATCTCGTTTTTACTTGATAATATAATGATAATATTTATAATTGTCTGAAATAAATGCAATTTTAAAGTTTTAATTATTATTTAAACATATTAAAAAGTTTTACGCTCATTATTGAATTGAGATTGAAACTAAATATTTTTTTGTTTCGATGTTGAAATCAAAGCATATTCCCTGCCAAACGTCAGTTAAAAATTTTCCATATTATTCGTTATTTCTTATTTTATTCAAAGTTTTTGGTCAAATTCCAAATTTTCTCTCAAATCGTATACTTTTTTTTAGTATTTATTTACCTCATGATATGCTGCAAAACCTAATTGATCACGAATTTATAATTGTCCGATTTTACCTCCTAAGCATCAAATTTTTAATCAATATACGTAAACATAAAATTGTGTAGATCGCGGTCATGCAATTTCGATTGCCCTGAAGATAATGACTCGATACTATATGTCTTTGTCTTATTGTAAGCCCTATAGATACTCCACGATATTCATGATATTATTTGCTGTTTTATGCAAATATTTCATGTCCACCTTCAATGATTTTACCATTAAACATTTAAAACTGAACCAGGTTCTGATCTAGTTCAAAGAATGGAAACAACTGTTAAATAATTTAATGACATTTGATTCCATTTTAGGTATTAATTTGGTCTCTTTTAATTTACACCAAACAGATTTTTTTGCAATTGGATCAGTTATATTTCGGATTTTGACCCCATTTTTTATGTCAGTTATGCGAAGGTTTTGTTTTTCATTCCATAGTAAAGTAGAATGCTTTTAGAGTTGCACTAATGGAAAACTTAATGTTCTGCCGCGTTAGTAGTCGTAGCTCGTCCTCTATAAAACGCTAGTTCGCTGGATTATGCATTAGAATAAGGTTGAACAATGAGTCAGTGTACAACGTTTCTCATTAAGCTCGTTAGAAATTGAGCAGTGAAACATCTACGACTGCGGCATCGTGAGAACCTTTTATTTTTAATTGTTCTAGTCGTTAGCACACGCACTATACTTCAATATTGGAAAGAGGACTTTATACATACACGACATATTATTCATTAGAAGAGTTTTTCTGTTTTCAATGAAGAGGAAATACATTTTCATTCCGATGTTGCAACGAGAAATAATTTTTAATACTTTCAATTTTTATATAATGAATATCCCTAATCACAAATTAGTACAACATTCCACATTTTCTTTTACTCTTATTGCCTTCTTCAGTCGTGAGTATTCGATACTTAGTCTGAAGAAACCGACGTTTTGGTGAAACAATTGTAACCATAATATTAACGTTAAACCTCAACATCAGGATTTGAACTAGAAAAAAAAGCATTAAAGCATTTGAGTATAATTTTCTTTTCATTCTTCGTTGGTTGAGATTAAATTCTTCGACTGTTTATGGTTCTTAAAATTTTGCATGTTTGAAGCGAATTCTGAAACATAAAATCCGAATTATTAGCAAAGAACCAGAGGAGCATAGGTATTTTATTTTGAATCCATTACAGTTCAATTATTCTCTTCAACTTTGAAAACTAATCACAATATAATTGTGAACTGATTGCGACTCGGAACACGACAATCCTTCGGTCATCCACTCCAAATTTCTGCAACTCCTCAAACGTTCTTAATTTTCACAGCAGCATCTTTACTTGTTTGGATTTTGAAACAAGAATTTACAACTAGAAAGAACTAGAGAAGTTTCAAGAGTAAAATGTGTAATCTACATACATAAATCTTCTGATCCATAACCAGTGTAATGATTTATCCTCCCCGCGATTCCATAAAGCTTTTGCGATCCTCAACGTTTAGTTCACCCAGTAGTTCTAACTCATTCGGAAAATAACGAATGGGAATTAAAGAGACTAATAGTAATACTGAAAAATATTTTACACTAAGGGTGGTAATTGCTTCAAGTATTTTCCTAAATTGACTTCATGTCTTCACTTGAGCTTCACTTGACAATGGAACTTCAAAGAAACGCGTTTGTCAGATCGATTGGAATGATAATTCAACATCTAGATACAACCTCCAAGTATTCGGTAGTAGAGATTGGTGACTACCATGACT